GAGGGTGCAGTAAGCTGAGATCACGCCACTGTACTCCAGCCTGGGTGACAAAGTGATACCCTGTCTCAAGAAAAAAAAAAAAAAAGAGAGAGGCATAGGTCCTAGAATAGCCAGAACTATCTTGACAAAGAAGAAACAAGTGAAAGGAATCACTCTACCTGATATCAAGGCTTACCACATGGGTACAGTATTTGATATAGTGTGGTACTGGTGAAGGAACAGACACAAACGTCAATGGAAGAGAACAGAGAACCCAGAAACAGATCCACCCAAATATGCCCAACTGACTGTGCTGAAACAACCAGAAATACACAAATTAAAAAAAAAAAAACAATGTTAAAACCTCAAAATGAAACATGAACTTCAATGTAAAACATAAAACTACACAAATAAAAAAAAAATGTTAAAACCTCAAAATGAAACATGAACTTCAATGTAAAACATAAAACTATAGAATTTAAAAATATAGAAGAAAATATTTTGGATCTAGCACCAAAGCGACAAGTTCTTAGACTTGCAAGCACAATCTGTAAAAGGAAAGATCTACATATCAGATCTCATCAAAATTAAAAACACTGTTCTGCAAAAGACCATTTCAAGAGGATGAAAAACCATAGACTGGGAGAAAATATCTGCAAACCACTTTTATGACAAAGCAGTAGTATCTAGAATATATAAGGAAATCTCAAAACTAAACAGTAAAAAAAACTAAACCCAATTAGAAAATGGGCAAAAAAACCATGAACAAACGTTTCACCAATGATGATGTAAAGATGAGAAATAAACACATGAAAGAATGTTCAACACTATTAGCCACCAGGCAAATGCAAATTAAAATCACAAAGAGATACAACACCATCTATTAAAATGGATAAAATGAAAACCACTAAATGCTGGCAAGGATGCAAAGACAGTTTATCCCTCATACAAGGCTAGTGGGAGTATAAAATAGTATAACCACTTTGCGTAACAGTTTGGCAGTTTCTTACAAAAACTAAAGACGTAACTATTACGGGAACCAACAACTGTACTCTTGTATTCATACAAAAACTCATACACAAATGTTCATAGCCTACCAAGAAATAACTCAGATGTCCCTAACGGATGAAAGGTTAACATACACATCCACACTATGAAATATAACTGAACAATAAAAAGGCAACAATTTTGATGACCTGAAAATTTATGCTCAGTGAAAAAAGCCAATCCCAAAAGGTTATATACTGTATGTTTTATTTATATAACATTCTTGAAATGACAAAATTATAAAAATGGAGACCAGATTAGTGGTTGCCAGGAGTTAAGGAAAGGCAGCGAACAGAAGTGGGTGTGACTATAAAAGAGTAACATGAAAGACCTTTGTAGTGTGGAAATGTTCTGTATATTAACTGCATCAGTATTAATTTCTTAGTTGTGATATTGTTTGCTAGTTTATTAGATGTTACCATTTGGGGAAACTGGGTAAAGGGTTCACAGTATCACTGTGTGCTATGTCTTACAACTGCAAGTGAATCTACAACTGCAAGTGAATCTACAATCTAAAAAAAAAATTTAATTTAAAAAATGGATGGGCCAGGCATGGTGGCCCATACCTGTAATCTTGACACTTTGGGAGGCTGAGGCAGAAGAATCGCTTGAGCCTAGGAGTTTCAGATCAGCCCGGGAAATACAGCAAGATCTCGCCTCTATAAAAAATTAAAAAATTAGTTGAGCATAGTGGTACACACTTGAGGTCCTAGCTACTTGGGAGCCTGAGGAGACAGGATGGCTTGAACCTGATGTTGAAGCTGCAGTGAGCCGTGATAGTGCCACTGCACTACAGCCTGGGTGACAGAGGGAGACCCTATCTCAAAACAAAGAAACAAACAAAACAAACAAAAAGGATAGAAGGCAAAGAAGTCAATCTTAACAAGCAAAAAACATTTTTGGGTACAGGTGGAGGGACGAATAGGTTGACAGGTGAACTATCAGAGGGTCTTCTCTCCAAGTTCAAGTTCGATGTTAACTTGGTTGGAAGGGACAAGGACCATGAAATCATGAGAGGCTCAGATGGCAGAACTGGGAGCTTTAAAGGAATCAAGAAAAACTTGGATTATTAAAGTCTGTGGGGAGCAGGGTTAAGAATCAACAAGAAAGGACCACACCTTCTTTTACAGTGAAAGCTGCAACTCCCAGGTTTGCAAACTGTTCACTGGAATGAAGTCTCTTTCCTCCAAATTCCTTTTCAGATAACTTTCTATTTTCTTTTTTTGAGAGGGAGTCTCACTCTGTCGCCAGGCTGGAGGGCACTGGCACAATCTCGCCTCACTTCAACCTCCACCTCCCGGGTTCAAGCGATTCTCCTGCCTCAGCCTCCAGAGAAGCTGGGACTACAGGCATGCATCACCATGCCCAGCTAATTTTTGTATTTTTAGTAGAGATGGGGTTTCACCATGTTGGCCAGGATGGTCTCGATCTCTTGACCTTGTGATCCACCCGCTTCGGCCTCCCAAAGTGTTGGGATTATAGGCGTGAGCCACCGTGCCTGGCTTGAGAACTTTCTTTCACAATAGCAATGAACAAAACTGACAACGCCTGTAGCTTTGGTGCTTACATGCTAATGGAGAAGAAAGATGATACAATTAAAAAAAAAAAAAAAAAAATATATATATATATATATATATAGGCATTCTACAAAATAGCTGACCAGTACACCTCAAACTGTGAAATAAAGCTTATTTTTTTTAATCAAAAACAAAATAGCACCCCCAACTTGTCTTGTCTTACTGCATCTAAAGAGTTATTCTTTACTTGCTAATTGTTAATGCTGTTTTATCTATAAAGCTGTATTCACTAAAACTGAATTTTTCTAAAAATACAGTTATTTTGGCCGGGCGCGGTGGCTCAAGCCTGTAATCCCAGCACTTTGGGAGGCCGAGGCGGGCGGATCACGAGGTCAGGAGATCGAGACCATCCTGGCTAACACAAAGAAACCCCGTCTCCACTAAAAATACAAAAAAATTAGCCGGGCGTGGTGGCGGCACCTGTAGTCCCAGCTACTCGGGAGGCTGAGGCAGGAGAATGGCGGGAACCCGGGAGGCGGAGCTTGCAGTGAGCCGAGATCGCGCCACTGCACTCCAGCCTGGGCGACAGAGCGAGACTCCGCCTCAAAAAAAAAAAAAAAAAAAAAAGTTATTTTATAGCACCACAGTTTGGATGTCTCTGTGAAATTCAGCATAATGGAACTTTATTTGTACAATTATAATGAAATCTTAATAACAACAGCAAAAATATTATCATCTCTATCCTACAGAAAAGGATAGAGATAATAGATCCAAACAGAAAATGTTTTACAGTCACAAAAATTAGTGATAAAAGCAGATTTAGAATTCCAGATTCTCAATCAAAAAAGTGATTACTGCAATATTAATTTGTCCTCCCTCACACAAAGAATCTCTTTTTCTTCCTTCTATGTGAATAAGGGTGCTCTCTTGAACTGGAGACTTCCATGACGGGCTAACGTAAGAAGCAATGCCTACCTGTTTTCATTAACATTTTTAATTTTTCATAGCGCATCTCAGAAGTCCACAGAGCTTGAATTTGTTAGGACACCTACCTACGGAGAAAAGTTACAAGCTTTCTGCATGTGAACTTCCCAACGCTGTACCAGCATTTATTTTGAGGTGACATTCTTAGACTAAACTCATCATCAATGATGTCTAATAAAACCCTTAATTACAAGCAACACACTCTTCTCTTACTAAACCAGATAAATGTACCAGTTAATTAATACTTAACTCCAATTCAATAAATATGTCCTGAATGACTGTGTCCAGTCACTGTAGAGGCACCAAGGACAGAGTGATGAAAATGTAGCTCCAGCTCTTGTCCAGTAAACAGACAACTAAGGAAAGGTCTAAAGAACTCTAAGATGCAGATTCATTTAGGGAGCCGTAGCTCCAGAAGAGCACAAGTCACCTAAACCAGTATGAAGGGTCAAACTATCAAGGGGAAGTGAGGCATGGAGACCTGAAAGATAGCAGGTATCAGCCAGCTGAGAAGGGGACGGGGGAATATGCAACAGACTGACACAAATATTTACAGCCATTCACTTCAAAAAATACAATGAAATGATAATAAGGAGAAGAATCCCCCAAGAAAATAAAGAGAAAAATTTAGGCGAAAACCTGATAACTAACAGACAAGTGCTAACTGACTTTACAGTTCAGAGAAAGATAAAACTGAAGCTGGCCATATGGAAGCTCGGAAAGAAGCTGCTTGTTGCCAGTAAAACAAAGAGAAAGTCATGAAATAAAGACACAGGCACCTTCAAAAGTGGATGTGTGGATAAAATCATCCTTGAAACTGTGCCACAGACAAGTAAGAATTAGCAGATTTCTTTCCTCATTCACCAAGAATAAAGACTACACTACTCCTTCCAGATACCGGACTCAATGACAACAGGCACAGCTGGCGGAGAGGAGGTAGGAATGAAAAAATGAAGAGAGAGATTAAGTGAAATTTTACTTCCTAAACTGTGAGAATTCAGGTCCTTTCCTTTCCTGCTTGGTGACCCAAATGCTGGCAGTTTACACTCTTCTCCAGACGAGACAGTAAAAGATTCTTCTCTAGGAAATCCGACACTGACACACACCCACACACCACCCTACCCTAAAGGACCTATGGATAATGACATCTAGAGTGTTACCAATGACATGGACCTACAGTGAAGCTCACAGTTTACAAGTCCTACGACCCATATGCAGTAATTTCCCAGTTAGCTTACACATTTTAAACCTCATGTGACTTTTTGAAACTACGTACTTTGATAAAAGTTAAAGACAATGGTAGGTAAAAGCAACATGGAAAGGAAAAAGAAGTATCTAAGCAGATGATTTATTTTTTATCATCTTACAATCATTTATTTATAATAAAAGAGTAAAAATAGAATTTTAAAACAAATCATTCTCAATCCTAATAAAAATACATGCCAAAATAGGGTTAAGTAAAAAGTACTCAACCTGTGTATCCATTAACATAGATAGCAACTCCACTAAAAATTGTAGATGAAGTCCCATCCTTCTGCAGAGCAGCATCTGATCGAAACTGTTCCTCCAATTTCTGGACCTTGGCAGCCATATACCCACCCTAGAATTAAAGAAAAGATAGACCAATCACAAAGGTTACATTTTCTCCCCCCTTTTTTGAAAAAAAATAAAAATTATATTTTAAAAACTAAATAAATGGACCTTATTCTGTGCTAGTGATCAGAACACAATGACAACCTCATAAGCGTAAACCACAGGCAAGGCAATACATAAAACAGGAAGGCTGGGCCAGGTGCAGGGGCTCACACCTGTAAGGAGCCACCTTTGGGAGGCCGAGGCGGGCGGATCACCTGAGGTCAAGAGTTTGAGACCAGCTTGGCCAACATGGTGAAACCCTGTCTCTACTAAAAATACAAAAATCAGCCAGGTGCGGTGCCCAGCGCCTGTAATCCCAGCTACTCAGGAGGCTGAGGCAGGAGAATTGCCTGAACCCAGGAGGTGGAGGTGGCAGTGAGCCGAGATGGCGCCACTGCACTCCAGCCTGGGTGACAGAGCAAGACTCCATCTCAAAAAATAATAAACAAACAAACAAACAAACACGTAGGACAAAGAAGAATTTTCCCTCTATCAACTCATTTTAACTTTATTACATTCTTATGATTATAAAAGTTACTTTTAAAAAAAGCTAGGTCAATAATAATAATAATACCGACTGGGCACAGTGGCTCACACCTGTGATCCCAGCACTTTGGGAGGCCGAGGAGGGCAGATCACCTGAGGTCGGGAGTTTGAGATCAGCCTGATCAACATGATGAAACCCCGTCTCTACTAAAAATACAAAATTAGCCGGGCGTGGTGGCGCATGCCTGTAATCCCAGCTACTCAGGAGGCTGAGGCAGGAGAATCACTTGAACCCAGAAGGTGGAGGTTGCAAACAAGCTGAGATTGTGCTATTGCACTCCAGCTTGGGCAACAAGAGCAAAACTGCATCTCAAAAAATAGTAATAATAATAATATCACAACATATTGTTCTTATGTACGTAATTGAGCAAGTTACACCAAAGTTTAAACCAATTACAAATTTGACAAGTGGTCTCAGAGCATACTTCATTTTATTTTATTTTTTATTTTTATTTTTTATTTTTTTTGAGACGGGAGTCTCGCTCTGTCGCCCAGGCTGGAGTGCAGTGGCCAGATCTCAGCTCACTGCAAGCTCCGCCTCCCGGGTTTACGCCATTCTCCTGCCTCAGCCTCCCGAGTAGCTGGGACTACAGGCGCCCGCCACCTCGCCCGGCTAGTTTTTTGTATTTTTAGTAGAGACGGGGTTTCACCGGGTTAGCCAGGATGGTCTCGATCTCCTGACCTCGTGATCCGCCCGTCTCGGCCTCCCAAAGTGCTGGGATTACAGGCTTGAGCCACCGCGCCCGGCCTTTTTTATTTTTTTGAGACAGAGTCTTGCTGTTGTCGCCCAGGTTGGAGTACCGTAGTGCAATCTCAGCTCACTGCAAACTCTGCCTCCCAGGTTCAAGTGATTCTCCTGCCTCAGCTTCCCAAGTAGCTGGGATTATAGGCGACCACCACCATGCCCAGCTAATTTTTGTATTTTTAATAGAGACGGGGTTTCACTATCTTGGCCAGGATGGTTTCCAACTCCTGACCTTAGGTGATCCACCCACCTCAGCCTCCCAAAGTGCTGCGATTACAGGTGTGAGCCACCGCGCCCAGCCTCAGAGCATATTTTAGACTGGCTTCCACTATCTCCCATATACAGAGAGCTTAAAATGAATTATTTCAGGTAAAAATGAGGCAACTGGATAAACCAGTGTAGTCCTCCCTACACATGGATAAGAATGCAATGAATGCTCCAGTGGGTAAATTCTGGATCTAATCAATCTATTTGACAGTAATATTAACTTTCATTAGATAACATCCACCTCACAGTAAATATTAAAAAATAACTTTTTTTGCTAAACATCTTGACAGATCTAGGGATTCAACTATACTTTTCCTGAACTTTGATATAATTAAGCTTGATTTCAATTATTAGGTCTTTAAATTAAAGCTGTAGGTGGCTAGAAGTACATGGTTCTTTTCCGAAAATGGAAATGACTGCATAATTTTTGCTGATTATTAAAATATTACATGCTCACTATAAAGTCTCTTTTCAGAAAATACAGGAAATATAGGGAAGAAAATTAAAACTGGTATAATCCTATTCATTAAAACGTTGAAGTGTTGTTTTCAAAGCTTATTTCTATATCTCAGAGCATAGAGGTTTTACAAAAATATAATCATGCAAAATATTTCTTTGTAACACACTGTTTTAGTCAAGGTTATCTTTCCAGGTTAAGATATATAAAGCTGAATAATGACTGTACAGTGCTCTACTATACACAGATAACTTATTTGACCAATCCCCTATTATTGGACATTTATGTGTTTTCCTGTTTTTCAGTATTATTAGCAATACTGCAATAAAATCATCATACAGTAAATTATTGTGCACTAGGCGTATTTATTTCCTCAGGGTAAAATTCCTGAGAGTAAAGCTTAGGGGATAAAGTTTATAAACATCATAAGGCTTTCAATACATTATGAAAACTCAAGGATTTGGTGTCTAAAGTAATTTACAATTTAGAAAACAAGTTAAACCACATTATAAACTAAAAGAAGAATGAAAAATATCTAGACAGTTCGATATAATTATTTTTACTCTTTTAAAACACACCCATTTTTCCCAGCCATCATTTTCAGCTCGCTTCCTCCATCCACCTCGCCTCATGGTGGAGCTTCTGTATTGGGGAGGAAAAAAAATACGTCAGTTTTATAACATAATGTATTCCTTTTTGACATTTTATTTCAATATCAAGAAAATAAATTAAAATAAATTCAAATGTCCAATTGATGAAAGTCAAGAATACTAAGTAAACTTTTTCTGAAGTTCTCCATTATCCAGCTTTACAAGTGAAATTTGTCTATAAAACACCCTCCTACAGATATGTTTAAACTGTAACTGTTAAATTTAAAATTCAATAGAAAAATATCTTTATGTATTCCTGAGCACCAATCCTAACACTCACTTACATAAAACATCACCAAATCCAACGAACATGGCCATGCTTACTTTACTTGTTACCATTATAAGATAATCTAACAAAATATTTCCCTTCATGAGTTGTCCCATAGCATGGCTCTTAAACTCTGTCTTTGCTTTACATACTGGACACTTAAGAGTTCAGTCATAGTGTGATTCACATATTCTGCCAAAGCCCTAGAAGAAGTCAATTAAAAATGATGCAGAAAAAATTACCATTGATAATAAACTATAACAGTAAACCTGTCATTCTCCTTAAGGCAACACTTACTTAAATAACTATACTACCACCAGGATGACCAAATGATGGTTCACATTAAGTGGCAGCTGGCTTAGTGGCTAGCAAAATATAAAATATAACTCATAAAAAGAGGCTAAATGAAACCCCTTGTAAAGTCAAAACCTTCTAACACAAATGACTACATTTTGGGATATGACTACATTTATCCTTAACAAAATTAATATAACTTCTATTTAGATAATTTTCTTCTAGTAACTATATACATGTATATCAAATGGTTACCATATGAAGCCTTATATATTATCCACGTCAAATCAGCTCTGACATGATCTATGAGAATTTTTTACTTAACACTTTAAACCATTGACACTTTACCCCACACACATTAGCGGATATTTTCTTTTTTTCTTTCTTTTGAGACAAAGTCTCGCACTGTCACCCAGGCTGAAGTGCAGTGGCACCATCTCAAATCACAACCACTTCCGTCTCCCGGGTTCAAGTGATTCTCCTGCCTCAGACTCCCAAAAGCTGGGATTACAGGCGCCTGTCACCACGCCTGGCTAATTTTTGTATTTTTAGTAGAGATGGGGTTTCACCATGTTGGCCAGGCTGGTCTTGAACTCCTGACCTCAAGTGATCTGCCCGCCTCTGCCTCCCAAAGTGCTGGGATTATAGGCATGAGCCACCATGCCTAGCCAGCAGATATTTTCTTAAATATTTTTATTCTTAGTATACTGCAGGATTTAGTTTTTCTGTGTTGACATTTATAACAATTTGAATTTTTACTGTCACCCTTAAAAGATACCTAAAAGACATGCAGAAATGTTGTCAAAAGGTTAAGTCCCAACAGAGACAAGATAATACAAAAGTTTTAGGGGCATGTGCAAGGTGCTCTGAGAAAAGGTGGTAAACTGATTAACCCTGAGGAGAGATTTTATTTTTAAGTCCCAAGGTAGGAGGAGCATGAATACCCAATGTGCTCATTATCCAGTCCCAGAAGTGCCACATGCTCTGTTAAATATTTCTTCTGTTTTCAAGGGGCTCACTTTGTTCGGTCCCAACAGACTTCAGCCCTTAAAGGAAATCTAGGAGACACATTAACACCCAGCTCTGGACTACATGTAAACTGAATCCATACACCTGCTGGAACAAGTAAAGAGTTTGGAGTTCTGGCCATTATACACTAAAAACACATACCCCGATAATTAAAGGCAGCTATTAAACTGTTAAACAAAGGTAAATAAAGGAGTCAAGTGTATTTTATACATGTGGCCCAATCATTTAAGAGCTCCAGTGTTTAACGTCTGTTGTACACCTACTGCACAAGGCCAATAAAATCCTTAATGATGGTTTAATGAGGGTAGCAGCATGAAGCACAGTTGTAATACAAAAACAAAAACAACAGCAACAACAACAAAAAATAAAACAGGTATTAAGGGTTCTTTCCCCCAACTCCAAAGTAACAAAACCACTCCAGACAAACGTTTAAAACTTTAAAAGGAAAAGGAAAGAACGAAGGACTGAACATTTTAGTTTCGTCGTTTCCAATAACTTGACTCATGAACAACAAACTCCTATTGATCCAGAAATCAAATAGTCAAAAATTACTAGCCAACATTCCAAAGAGGACAAAAATCTTCCGAGACCTGCCGCCTCACCTCTCTTCCCCAAACCGGATTATTTTCCCTCTGAGAATACTTGGCAATCCTAGAAGAGTGGCTGAGAGACTGGACAAAGGTTCTGACAAACAGTGCTGAGAGAGAAAAAGTGGAGTCCAAGGGTCTTCCAAGGATACAGATTCCCACAATTGGTATTAGAACCCCACGAGTAACAAGAAATTGGAAGCAGACAGACCAAACTTTGCAGAAACTGTATTCTGCCTTACATTATTTCAATCTCTGAAAAGAGATTAAGGTGATCGTGGGCCGGGCGCGGTGGCTCACACCTGTAATCCCAGCACTTTGGGAGGCCAAGGTGGGTGGATCACCTGAGGTACAGTCTGGCCAACATGGTGAAACCCTGTCTCTATTAAAAATACAAGATTGCTGAGTGCAGTGGCTCACACTTGTAATCCCAGCACTTTGGGAGGCTGAGGTGGGTAGATCACCTGAAGTGGGGAGTTCGAGACCAGCCTGACCAACATGGAGAAACCCTGTCTCTACTAAAAATAAAAAATTAGCCGGGCATGGTGGTGTGTGCCTGTAATCCCAGCTACTCGGGAGGCTGAGGCAGGAGAATCGCTTGAACCCGGGAGGCGGAGGTTGCAGTGAGCTGAGATTGCACCATTGGACTCCAGGCTGGGCAACAAGAGCGAAACTCCAACTCAAAAAAAAAAAAAAAAAAAAAATTAGCCGGCACGGTGGCTGTTTCTGCTACTCAGCAGGGATCTTCGAAAAAGAGACTCCGCCAATGCCTCTGTACTCACATCCAGGGAAAAGTTCTCCACTCTAGATGACTGATTTGCTTCTTTAAACTCCATTTAAATTTTGCTCCATTCCCTAGAACGGAGGAGGGCATTTAATCAGGATACCACTACTTGACAGAAATATCCTTCAGAAATAACACATTCCCTCAGTTTTTTTCCTGTTCCAAGCAACCTCCTGAATTACAACGTGTCCTCTTGACTAAAGGTACTCACTGAGAAGTGACTGCGCTGCATTGACAAACCATCCAATTACCAAGCTAGACTTGTAAACAAAAATTGCCTTCCAGTTTTCAGAGGCACTCTTGCAGACCAGGCTCCCAATTTAATTCCACAGAACTTGATGACCTTGAGGAACGTGATAACGGTTTCTGAAACTGTGATTCACAACCTAAAATAACCTGCCAATCTCTCCTTATCCAGTCACATTAACAGGGCAGCCAATTACTGTCTTTCAAAAAATTAGTTTAAAAAACAGATGAAGGGTGAATACACGAATGCAAAAGTACCCTTATCCTTAACATTTAGGGTACGCCTTCAATAAACACGAACTACTGTTACAGTAATCTACTCTGCCAGTCCACAGAGTGAAAATCGAATGAGACTACATATGTGGAAACCCTTTGAAAACTGTAACACAGGGAACACAGTTATTTTAAGTTAGTTATCCATGGTCTACAACATAACGATAACAGCAGACTAGTAGATTTGGTGATAAAAGATGGGCTCAAATCCCAGTTCCACGACTGCCTAACAGTGTGATTTGGAGTGAGTCCAACAGCACTGAGCCTAACATTTCTTCACCTATAAAACCAGAAAGTTTGACTGCAGAATCTTTATGGGGCCATGACTGGATGTAGGGTGGATGTGGCGGGGAGAAGAAGAGAGTTGGGGGTAAAAACAGCAAGCAGGCAGGGTTCCACTCTCCAAACCCACCTTCAATTTTAGCAGCCATGCTTTTTTTTATCCCCCGTGAGTTTTAGGTTTAGGGTCTGAACAAGATTGTTCTTGAAGAAAAAGCACAACAACTTGAAAAAGACTGATAATTAAGAGTAATGAACTAAAAACTAAGTACAAAATTTCTTCGTTCTTTTCTGTTTCCATATGTGACTCTACAAGAGAGTCATATGTGGAAATCTCCCAACCCTCGAAAGGTTCACAAGCTAAAACTCACCTACAAGCTAAAAATCAAATTATACAGACCAACTAAATTACAGGCTGTCAATACAGCCATGCCCAGTCCCCAGTGCTAACAAGCAGTAACAACTAGCCAGGTGAGGTAAGGTGAAGGCAAATGGGAGAGTAGCTCTGTCTACGAGGAGCCCAGGGATCCTGAACGCCTACACAAAACACTTCCTCTCTCCACTCTCTCAACAGGGATGTTCAAAACTCTATTAAGGGTCTCATCAAGGACATGCTTATTTAAAAATATAACAAGATCACTTATGCATGCATTTTTCCTAACGTTTATCTTCTGCTGGAACATACTACTCTCAGTTCATTCTAAACTTTATTCTTTCTTTTTACCATAGTTATTGGTGGATTTTACTATCTAGCCCAAGAATGATGTTTATCACCAGGAACATTCATTTTCATGTAAATATGATATTTCCCAGCACTTTGGGAGGCCGAGGCGGGCAGATCTTGAGGTCAGGAGATCAAGACCATCCTGGCTAACACAGTGAAATCCCGTCTCTACTAAAAATGCAAAAAATTAGCCGGGCATCATGGCAGGCGCCTGCAGTCCCAGCAATTCAGGAGGCTGAGGCAGAAGAATGGTGTGAACCCGGGAGGTGGAGCTTGCAGTGAGCTGATACCGGGCCACTGCACTCTAGCCAGGGCAACAGAGTGAGACTCCGGCTCAAAAAAAAAAAAAAAAGGTATTTCATCTATTTACAAAAGAACTACTAACATTACAAGGTTCCAAACAGTTCATTACACACTAGAAAAACTCCCACTACAGGCCGGGCGCGGCGGCTCACACCTGTGATCCCAACGCTCGGGGTGGCTCACACCTGTAATCCCAGAGCTTTGGGAGGCCGAGGCGGGTCGATCACATTGTCAGGGTATTGAGACCATCCTGGCTAATACGGTGAACCCCCATCTCTACTAAAAATATAAAAAATTAGCCAGGCGAGGTGGCGGGCACCTGTAGTCCCAGCTACTCGGGAGGCTGAGGCAGGAGAATGGCGTGAACCCGGGAGGCGGAGCTTGCAGTGAGCCAAGATCGCGCTACTGTACTCCAGCCTGGGCGACAGAGCGAGACTCCATCTCAAAAAAAAAAAAAAAGAAAGAAAAAAGAAAGAAAAACTCCCACTACATACCCACAAAATGTTCAAATGTTCAGTGTTAATCTGATGGTTACATATCTGTAACTCTAAAGTCTGTTGATTAATGAAACTGATTTTGAATGGCTTTTAATCAGTCTTTATTACTACAGTCATATATAAATGTACACATTTATAAAAAGTAGAGGTTCCTCTTCAAAGACTTTCCTCCCCATCTAATTAGGAATAAATAGTAACTTCTCTTAGAAGCAAAATTTATTCAAAGACCTGTGTTAACATTCTTAAACATCTGCTAGCCGTAATAAAGAAATCAATGTACTTTATGTTCTTAGCTCCCACAATGTAGCCTAAATACTTGCCCTGGCGCGCGCGCGCGCACGCGCACACACACACACACACACACACACACACACACACACACACTGGTCCAAGTCAGCATTAGGTCATAGCCTGTTCCTCTTCCTCATCTGAAGGTGTTTTTACCTTTCTCTGCATTCCACAAGTTACTTCCTCCTTCCTTTGTTCTCCTCTGCCTTTGCCTCTTTTAAAAAGTTCTAAGTTGTTAGCCAATCAGGACAAATACAGAATGTGAGGTCCTGTTCCAGCCAATGGAAACCAGACATAACAGTAGGGTGGGCACAACAGGTTATAAATAACCCTGCCTTCTTTGTTTGGTGTACTCTCAAGGCAAAACTATTAGCGAGTGTACCCTTTCTGCACAAAGTATAAAACTGGCCTTGCTGAAGAAATTAAATTTATGTTCAAGTGCTACTTCTTTACAGCACCAGGGAACAAGCATTTCAATCAGGTTTATCCTATCTTTATGTAATAGTTACCTAAAAAACATTTGCTGAATGTAGTGAGAATCGACAGGCAAAGAATATGCAATGAATGAATGTGCACATTATAGCAGCATAACATAATTCATGAATGTGACACAAATGCAAAGAAAGCAGCCTGTGGCCACCCGTTATCTAGCAAGGCTGAAACAAAATTTGCCTTTGGCACCCTGCCATCTCTCTACTCCATACCTCTTTGTTTTCAGGGCCTCTTTGTCTTACTTAGCTGTCAATTCTCTGCTAAGGCATATACTGACAACTAAGGAACTGGTTAAAAACTGGCTTAAGGTATGATGCAACCCAGGGTCATCTGTGTTTAGAAGAACTTCTTCATGACCATTCAATGAGGAAAGGACAATCTTTTCAACAAATGGTGACAGGAAAACTGGATATCACATGCAAAAGAAGTTGGACCTTTACACCACGTTAAAAAAAAACTCAAAGTGTATGAAAGGCGTAAATATAAGAGCTAAAACGATCAAACTCTTAGGAGAAAACATAAAAGCTTCACGACACTGGATTTTGCAATGACTTCTTGGGGAAAATGTAACAAAAGAAAAAAACAGATAAACTACATCAAAATTTAAAACTTCTGTAAATCACAGGGCAAAAAAGGGTAAAAAGGCAATCCACAGAATGGGAGAAAATATCTGCAAATCATACATCTGATAAGGGGTTCATACACTTCCCATTATAAACAACTCCTACCATAAACCGTAACAATAAACACATAAAACCACTAAGAAATAAACAAAGGATCTAAACAGACACTTCTCTAAAGATAGACAAATGGCCAATAAGCACATAAAAAAAGTTCAGTGTCATTAATCACTATGGAAATGCAAATAGAAACCACAATGAGACACCACCTCACACCCAGCAGGATAGTGACTATTTAAAAAAAAAAAAAAAAAAGTGTTGATAAGGATGGAAAGAAATTGGGCCCAGTGAGCCCTGTTGATGGGAATTTAAAATGGTGCAGCTGATACGAAAAACAGTATGGCAATTACTCAAAAAATCAGAAATAGAATTATCCTGTAATTCCACTTGTGAGAATATATCCAAAGGAACGGAAACCTGGGACACAGATATTTATGTGTACATTTATATTAATAAGCATTATTCGCAATAGCCAAAAGGCGGAAGCAACCCAAGTGTCCATCCACAGATGAACGGGTAAACCAAACGTGGCACACATGTACAATGAAATGCTATTCCGCCTTAAAAGGAAGGAAATTCCAAAGCTTGCTACAACTTGCATGAACCTTGAAGCCATTACGGTAAGTTAATTCACAAAAGGACAAATACTGTATGATTCTACCTATATGAAGTATTTAAAGTAGTTAAATTCAGAGACAGAAAGCGCAATGGTGGTTGCGGGTGGAGTTACTGTTTAACAGGTGGGCTCAGGCAAGATGAAAGAGTTCTGGAGACGGATGGTGGCGATGGTTGCACAACAGTGTGAATGTACTTAATGCAACCGGACTGTACACTTAAAAACAGCCAAAATGGTAAACTTTTACATGTATCTTACCACAATTAAGAAGAGTTTTAAAAAAAAAGTACTTCTGAAGCTGCAAACACTGCACAGGCACCTAGCTGCGGCAGACAGGGTCTTCAGGTGCGGTGCAAAGCTGGGAAGAGGCCTCTACCTTCAAGAAAACTGTGCAGCAGTATCTGGGGGTCTCGTTCATTTTTTACTTTGAATTGGGGGCAGTGGGAGGCCATTTGAGAATTTACAAGAACCAGGTATTGCCTTTATGAGTAACTAAGTACATAAAGTGCTAGCTAGCACACATGCCCTAAAAAAAGTTTGGTAACAGTCTGCTCCAATGTGCTCTTATTCTGTCCTTTAATGGTCAAAGTTTTAACACCAGAAACAGCTTTTTATGTAACATTTAGATACAAAAATACAGCTGTTTGTGGATCTTATTTTGATTCAACCTTAGAGACCATCATTGTCTAAGGCTACAGTTCTCAAACAACTGCTGAAGTTGTATGGGTACTACAGACATGCACATCCCACAAACTAGTCAGGTTTTGATCGTGAAGGGACTCTCACCAAGGTATATAAAACAAAACAAAAGGCCAGGCCTGGTGGCTCATGCCTGTAATCCCAGTACTTTGGGAGGATGAGGTGGGCAGATCATTTGAGGTCAGGAGTTTGAGATCAGCCTGACCAACCTGGTGAAACCCCATCTCTAAAAATACAAAAAAAAAAATTAGCCGGGCATGGTGGCGCATGCCTGTAGTCCCAGCTACTCGGGAGGCTGAGACAGGAGAATCACTTGAACCCAGGAGGTGGAGGTTGCAGTGAGCCAAGATCGTGCCACTGTACTCCAGTCTGACAGAGTGAGACGGGAAGGGACGGGACAGGAAGGGAAGGGAAGAATTCAGACACCTAGGTGAAGGGCGCAGTTTCCCAGAAGTACAAGTACTGGCTCTAATCTTCAACCTGTACTTGCTTTTAGCAACTGATTTTAAATCAAGCCAACAGTTCACATTCTAAGCATAGTGCTGTGTGTCTTTCACGTATTTAAGATATCTTTTAAAAATACACAAGTCCAAGATATTTAGATCAGGTTTTATTCCTAACCTAATAAAACCCATTTTTGCCACTTTGTGTGGTTTTTTTACACCTTCAGCATACTGAAACATTTTCCTGTTATTAATTTTTTCCTGCTGCAATAAAACAATTTCTGTACCAGATGAGATACTGTCTTGATAAACGCAGAACTCAAAGAACTTCAAACTATCAAAGTGGCACACAGTACTCTCCATAGAAAAAATTATAGGTTTTGGTACGTAAGCCTTTTCTTGAAGTCAGTATGATCTTTCAATCTTTTCTTGGGACATTCTCTATTATTCCCTCATCACTGAATTGTGTTTATACACTGCTTTGTAATGCTAAGTACATTATGCAATCCTGCTAAGTGTTCCTTTTCAAAAATAGCTTTTCTTGCTGTATTTATAAAAGCAATTCGTGTTCATTGCAGAAAATTGGAAAATACAGAAAACAGAAAAGGAAAGGAAAAAATCACTCACATTCCTACCACCTAAAAATTTCACCTATTAACTGACACTTCATATTTCCTCCTTTTAGTGTTCCTTTAATTTTTAACATTCAAATTTAATTTCTTCACATTTAAATACATTACTAGTAATACCTTTCACTTCAAGTGTCTTCAGTTTTCCAAGACCCCTTTACATCTACCATTTATCTTTACAACTCACCCACAGAGTAAGTCAGCCAAGTACTATTTATTTTGCACACAACAGTTGCCTTCTAGGGTAGAGAAGCTAAAAAGTTCTATAAGGCTGCACTGCTGGCTCGTGGTACAAAATCATACTCATCTTCTACAAAATTATGTTCCAAAATCTTCAATGGAAAAAATAATAATGGTATCAATATGAACTGCTAAAAAGTTAAGAACACTCCTATTGAACTGAAGTAACCTAACACAAAACAGATTCTTTACCAGGAAATCTAGCAACAGTCTGGATTATAATACAGCCATACATGTAACAAGACCAAGGAAGGAAACAGGTCCTACAAATAAGCTCCATCTAGACCCCAACTAGTCCATATTGATAAGTAGAGGTCGGGTGTGGTGGCTCACACCTGTAATCCCAGCACTTTGGGAGGCTGAGGCAGGCGGATCACTTGAGGTCAGGAGTTTGAGACCAGCCTGACCAACATGGTGAAACCCTGTCTCTACTAAAAAGAAAAAAATCAGCCAGGCATGG